ACACAAGACTTCTCAGAAAGAGAGAGAGAGACATGAGAAAATGCAGAAAGCAGAACACAGCATGTGAACAGCTCATTTCTATAACAATATCTCAGACAAGGTATACAAGTCTCACATCTGCAGGTGTAAAAGAGTACAACATTCACATTCTCATTTCTGAAAACACAGATATTCTTCACCTGTATCATGAAGTCAGATGATAAACATCAGAGAATAGACTGATACAGATCAATCATACTAAAGATATTTATTAGAGTGAATATATCTGTAATATTGAATTTAACAGTTGTGAAAGATTTCTTGATATCTGTGAATATCATAACTTCATATATAATAAAACTTATAATAATTTTCTCTAAGAATAGAAAAATCAGCATTAGAAAGAAAAGATAAAAAGAAAAAGACTTATAATCTTAATACTGTTGAGAAGAGAAGTGATTCTCTGAAATAAATGAATAATTATCTTATCATAAATATTTAAAATGAATATAATAATCAGCATCTATGACTGAGCTTCAGATAGTTGTGTTATATGCTATCTTTATACAATAAATCATTCTAGAGATCAGTAAGAAGAGCGGGAGCATACATGCTGAGAAACATGATTCACTGAGTCTATGCAACATCTTTGTGATTCAAAGGTTGCTTAAGTCAGTGTACAATTACAGGCATACGCCGGCTTCTTATATATTGAATCTTGTACACTAAATTAATTAGTGGCTGCTAGGGCCTCTTTACATTCGTATGCTAGTAGTTAAGAAGCAGCCGTGTTATTATTCAACAGTTATATGTTCTTTCAAATCACATCCTCTCTCATCAGATTCAGTCACGCTCATGTGATCATGTCATACACTCTAGCTTCATGCAGATTAGCTTGCCACTAGCATTTCACAATTGTGTGACCTATCTCTGATTCAGCTAGCATTTTATGTACACTCTTACAAAGAAACTTTCACTATATTACATCACTTATTCACTAACTTTTCTCATTCTTCAATCATTATCTTCATCATCATCATCATCAAATGTTATCATCTCATTCAAGATTTCTATCTCTTCTTCTGTTCAACTCTTTTTATCTGTTTATCTATTATATTGTATGTGTTTCTGGCAATGACCTTCTGTTCTCACAACAAGTGTTCTTGTAGTGCTCATATCAGACAGTTCATTAGCAGTAAGTGTAATATGTTGTGAAATGTGACCAGAACTTGTTTATCTTCTAACAATCACCAGAATATACTATTATGAATGACACATCTTCTTCTTCTTCTCATACACTCTCAACTGTTTCCTTCTCAGCGGGTTTCTGATTATTTTTTCTAGCATGATTTTACATGAATGTAGATGCTGATATGTTGTTTTTTTTATTTGTGTAGAATTGTCATGTGTTGACAGATTCACATCTGCTGATGATAGTGAACTCAGTGTTGAATCATTGATTAAGAACTTGAAGAACGTGATAATGAAGGAATTGCTCATGTCATGTGTGACTGAGTCTTCTGTGTCCCCCCCTGCCTCTTCTGCCGCTTCTTTCCCTGCTGCTCTCTCTCAATCTTCTACACTTACCCCTGTGTCTGATTCTCCCACTTCTGCTACTTCTGATTTTGCCGCCTCTGCCTTCATTACTAGCTCTCCCTGTTTCAAGAAGATGTTGTATAGACTCAGTGAATCATGTTTCTCAGCATGTACACTTCTGTTCTTCTTACTGATCTCTAGAATAATTTATTGTATGAAGACAGTGTATGATATGTAGACTGACCGCTGAGACCATGAATTTCACATTTGGTCCCATTTGGTCTGATCTCATACATTTCTTGGCGTGAGTCCCACCAGGACCAAGCCTCAAAAAAATCAGAAAATGGACCATTTCTGAGAGAAATGGCATGAAAAATGACCAGATTTAATTCAAGAACAGTGAAATGAGAGTAATTTTTCAGGATAAACTGTGAAAGATGATTATTCTTTCAAAATCAGAATGAGACTGAGACTGAAGATCAAAATCAGTCTTATTCAATTCATTCAGTGATTACTTATATAATCAGAATTTGATAATGATTATTAATAACACTCATGAAATAACTAAATACATTCTTGTGTAAGTTTATTCTTCACTTTCTCATGAAAACTACACTTCTCTGATATACTGTGATCAGAGGTATTAAACTGTCTGATAATTTCATGTTTTACAATCATGAGTTTCTTGATTATTTCTTCTTATAATTGTTCTCAGCAATAGTAATAAATATCTTAACTTGAGTTAAACTTTCACTTCATTCTCACCTCTGTCAATGAAATTGTCAGAATATCACATGTCATCAGTGTAACAGTTGAATATATACTCTTAACAATTTTTCATAACTCTAGAATTGATTTGATGTATAAATTTGTCAGATCATCTTGAAGATAGTGATTAAATTCAGTTTTATAAGCATGTAGCTTTGTCTGATTTTCAGTTGTAATTACTGTATGTAAGTCTTGTTTCAAAGTTAATATTATAGTTCTATGTGATATGAAGCATTATCAAAGATTGTTACTTACTAGAGAATTGTATTTCACTATCTTCATATCTTGAACATCTGCTCATTCAAATCTCTGATAGTTAGCATTGTAGTAGTCTCAGGCTAATTTGACATATGAGTCTCATTTCTCCTCTGTTCAATCTTGAGAAGTGTAGATATTAACTCAATGAGAGAGATCTAGTAGAGCTGCTACAGTATAGTACTCTGTAAAAGATTGTTCTATTTTGCTGTAGTAATATGCCAGTTTATCTCTTACAGCAACAATAGTCTGCACTATAGCATCATTTCAGACTGAATTTCTTTTTAAGTGATTCAACTGCTTCTCAAGATAAGTAAATAAACTGTTATACACTCATCAGACTGACTGCAGCATTGATGTATGAGTGATTGAGACTGTCTTTGTTATCTTATAAAACTGAAACAGTAAATTAATCACATATTTCAACTGAGTTCACTTCATATCAGAAAGTTTCAATATCTAGATCTTTTTCTGATCAGAGTGTTACACTCAATGATCAATTATCTGACACAATTGAAGAGTCTGAACAGTTATCTTATATATTGAACTTCACTGTGTTCTAACATTCTGTATCATATTCAGTGATGTGACTGATTTGTTTATTTATTGAATATTATAAAATCATTGTTATTGTTTAGAAGAGGTATAAATTGTTTTAATAATATTTTAAATCTATGATATTTAAATTATTAGTCAATCTATTCAAAATTAACAGTAGTGTTATCAAAAAGCATTATTAAAAAGCAATATTAAAAAGTATTATCAAAAAACCTTATCTTTTACAAAGTAAATGCAAAAGTTACTTGAGTAATCACTTTCATCTCATTCTCATTTCAAGAATCAGTTATCTCATTATTCTTCATCTTGATATTAAGATTCTTTATCAGTGTTTGCATCACAAGTTGAATCACATGAGCAATGCAGAGAATATGACCTTGTTTATCATTTCAGAAATACAAAGTCAATTTTTGCTTCAAGCTCTTCATCATAGTGTAGTTATTCACAGCATTATCAATTGTAATTGTAAGAAGACTGAGACTAATATCTCAATAGTTATTTTTAATCACAGTCATTAATATCTCTGCTATATAATCCTCAGTATGACTACTGATCAATGATTCAAATTCAATTAATGTCTCTTGATAAGTTCAGTTCTCATCAATATAATAACATGTAACTCTCATAAATGCAAGATTGTTTGTACTAGTTCATGCATTCACTGTGAGAGACACTCTTTGATGATTCTTCAACTCTGATTCTAGATATTGCATATTGACTTTGTAGTGTGTCTTGAGATTGAACTGAAGACAGAATCAATGTGGAATATGAAGATTTGAATTAAGCATTTGAAGAAGTGTTCAGAATTTAAGGTTTTCAATTGATTGAAGAGGAAGATTCAGAGATATACATATGTGAAGTAATTATTCACAGAAGTTATCAGATAAGAGTTGTGAAATCAGAGTACTGATATGAGATCATTTTCACATGATTTACTTCAAATTAGAAAGTTAGTATTATCAAAAATTGTTACCTGATAGAGTAACTTACCAGCTCAGTAGTAATTTTCTGATTATTTTTCTTTTATTATCTGTATTCTGATGACTTCAGATGTCAGGAAATTTCTTCAGAGTTATAATCAGTCTATGATGAATGTTTCTGAATGAAGTTACAGTGATTACAGCAGAGAGATGACTCTTCAGTAATCTACAATACAATCTGTTGATAATTATTTCATAGTTTATCTCAATATTTGTGTTGAGTTTTTCATAAATTTCATGACCTGGAATCAGATGTGAAGAATGAAGTGATCATTCATTATAATTGAAAGAGAGCATTCTGTATTGAATTATAAACAACATAGACTTTGTAATTCACAGTGATTTCTTGAAGAGTTTATGAATCTTCAATCGAAGTAAAAGAAGTAAATTCAGAAGATATGATAATAATTTAAGAAAGATGATAATTTATTTTCAATAACTGATCACTGATGTGTGTAAGAAGAATTAATATAAGAGAAAATAATCTTGTTTCTTAGCTTAGTTATAATTTTAGTACTAACTCAGATTGAATATCATTGATATATAAAAGTAAATAAACAATCTTGATTAATCTCTATCATATTTCTTGAAATATATTAATATTGTGAAAGAGAGTGTTACTAAATTGCATTATCAGATGATATTATTAAAAATATATTAATATTGTGAATATCAATGTTGAAAAAATGTTGATACTTATACATTATAGTGATTTGTGAATCATGACAGTTAAATATATATATATATATATATATTGTTCCTGACTTGATTACAACTTGTACAATAATTTTTAAAAACTCAAAATTAATTTTAATTATTAATAATTATGAACTTACAATTAAACTAACTAATATAAAAAGAAAAAAACTTTTTCTACTCATCATCTTTCTTCTCTTTCTCATTCTTCTTATCATTTTTCATAATTCACTTCTTATTCTTCTTCTTCTTCTCCTTCTCCTCATCTGAGATAATAATCATCTCAAAATCTCTCTTCACTGTCTTCTCAGAGAAGGGTTTCTACTGCTTCTCTTCAGCCAGATCAATCTGCATCTCAAAATTTCACATTTTCTGATCTGCTGTCTTGAGTTTCATCTCAGCAGTAAGCAGATTGATATGCTCAGAGAGCAGAGCTATCTTCTTAATGTTCTGAATCATGAAGTGTATTTAAGATCTGAACAAGGTCTCAATTCTCTTCTTCTCTGCCAGCTTCTGCTAATCAATTAGAGAACAGAAGTGTTATCAAAAATTGTTATCTCTTAATAAATAAAAAACTTATCAGTTTTGACTTCTTCATCTCTTACTTTAACATTCTCTCAATCTTCTTCTACTGTTACTTATTTATAGTAACACTCTTCTTCTCTCTCTCTCTCTTCATCTTAGTCTCAAATCATTCTTGAGACTTCTTCTGATCTCACTGCTGCTGTATGAGACTCTTCACTGTCTTCTTCTTCAATCTCTCACAGATGATGTCATCTGTATTATTTCTATACTTAGTTCAGTCTAAATCTATCAGAAGTGTTACTTAAAATTGTTATCATTCTACTCTCTTACAGAGCCTCTTCAAGGCATTATAATATGTCTTGTGATCTGTCTCTTCTTGCTTAAATGCCTTCTTCTTCTCTCTCTTCAATCTGTGACAGCGCTCACGCGCCTTGATGATCCGCAGAACCGCAGAATATTTGAAGAGAGATGACATGATTGATTTTAATGAGTGTTGAAGAGAAGTGAAGGCAGGAGAGGCGGTCAGAAATGATATGATAATAATGATAATAATGATAATGATAATGATGATGATGATGATGATAATAATGATAATAATAGTGATGATGATGATGATAATAATAATGATAATAATAATGATAATGATGATGATGATGATGAAAGAAAGAGTGCATTAGAATATATTACTGACTTATCAAATATAAAGAGACTTAAAGAAAATATTAACAGCTTTTAGTGATGTACAGAAACAGCTACAGTGTTGTATAGTAATATCATCTTCATTCAATACATGCACTGTTGATATTCTTTGTATGCAGTTATTATATAATCTGTATCAGAGATACATGCAGAAAACAGATCTTTATTACTAGAACAAATGATTGCAGTAATTCTCTATTTTTATATTATAAAGATAAGTTGTTCTCATTTCTTTCTTCTCTCTTTTCTCTTCTTCAATCAATCACTAATTTCAAGCTGGTATGAAAACTATTAAAACACTCTCAGAAACTCTCAAATTGAAGAGTATAGACTAATCAAATTTCAAATGTAGAAGAAATCAAATTATCTTCTACAGATTCAATTACTCATCTCTCTCTTAAATAAAACAGCAGTCACATCCTCTCCCTCCCCTCAATCAAACAAAACATGGCCTGTGAAAAGCGAGTACCACGCCAGGCTATAATAGCCAACACAGTCTCAGCACACAGGACTGCATATGTGCAGTGTGTACTGAACTGAAAGACTGTGTGAGTTACAAATCAGCAGCAGCATTTCAGAGAGAGTAATGCAGTGTGAGAAAGCTGCAACTCTTAGTCATATGTGCAGAGAATAAATCACTGCAGTAAGTGCATGTGCATTGAAGTAACACTTTTTAATAATACTCAGTCTCTGATATGATGAAAATAGAGTCTCTCTGTGAGATTCATTTCTATCAGAAGTCAGAGAATCTTATATTCTTCAAGATCATCTTCACGCGCCTTGTCTGTGAAATCAATGAGAGAAATCATTGATTTCAGTGTTCTGTTCTTGATGTCATTCAAGTGACAGCAGAGTTCACCCTGGTCACACTTTTTAAGTGTATGTTTTCTAATTATTCACATTTATATAGATATATACTGATTATTTGTTAGATGATGTTAAGACAATAACTTATTATAACTGTGTTATTCTCACTGTGAGAGATACATAATTGATGATGAATATTGTGAAGACTCTGAGAAGTGAATATTTTAAGAATGCTAGAACTCTGCAATCTTGATTTTTTTTTGTTTTTGTTTTTTGTTTTTTTCTTTTTCTTTTCTTTTTTTTTTTTATTTTTCTTTCTCTTTCTATCTTTTTCTTTCTCTTCTTTTTTTCTTTCTCTTTTTTTTTTTTTTTTTTTATTGTGATTTTTTCTTGTTGTTTTGTTTTTTGTTTTTTTGTTATTTTTTGTATTTTACATTTTTTTTTTTAATTAAATTGATATTAATTATGATCTGTGTTTAGAAAAGTAATGATATTTGATAATACTCTCTATTGAATTTTCAACAAATGAGTACTATGTTATGATATTATGTAAGTGAGAAATGATTTCATGATCTCATTTAATACTATTTTCAATAATGAGATCAGAATGAAAATATGACTAAGAATTTAAACATATTCTTTATCTGAGACTAGATTTTTATTTGAAAAGTGAATCTGAGATCTTTAATATTTGAAATAACAGGATTTGAAATCAATGTGATGAATACAAATCATGACCAGAAGTAATACTTTTAGGCAACATGACAACTGTAAAGTTTGATCCTGATCTCAGACACGGTCACACAGTCAGTCTAATGATATGACTATCTGAAGCTCAGTTACAGACATCAATTATTATGTTTATTTTAAATATTTATAATGAGACAATTATTCATTCATATCAGAGAATCACTCTCTCTCTTAACAGTGTTGAGATTGTAAGTCTTTTTCTTTTTCATCTTTTCTTTCTGATGCTGATTTTTCTGTTCTTAGAGAAAATCATTATGAGTTTTACTGTGTATGAAGTCATAACATTCACAGACATTAAGAAACTTTTCATGACTGTAAAGTTCAACATTACAGAGATATTCACTCTGATAAATTCCTTCAGAATGATAGATTCATATCAGTCTATTCTCTGATATCTGTTGTCTGACTTCATGGTGCAGGTGAAAGATATTCATGTTTTTAGAAATGAGAACATGAATGTCATTCTCTTTTACATCTGTGAGCATGAGGCTTGTATGCCTTGTCTGAGATGTTGTTGTGAGAATGAGTCATTTACATGCTGTGTTCTACTTCCTGCATTTCTCTGTGTCTCTCTCTCTCTTTCTGAGAAGTCTTGTGTGTGTTGTAATTGCATGTACAACTCTAAGATCAGCAGGTGTTCATTCAGTAACTATTCTCATCTCTGATTTTATGATTTTCATACACTAACAATGATTTTTAGTTGCTCTGATATCAGAGGCCATTCTAATCAAAGATGATAACACTGCTGAGACTACTCTCTCTCACTCTCAAGCTTCTCTCATTGCTTTCTCTCTCTTCTCTGCAGAGAAGGCTGTGTGCACATCAGATTGTAAGTGTTTGATCTCAGATGACTTCTGTTGTTCATTCAGTTCTGTGTCTCTCTCTTCTGTTTCTTCTGTCTTCACTCTCTCTTCCTTGACTCCTGGTTCTGCGGGTCTCACGCTCTTCTTCAATTTCTCTACACATACATATACACATTTCTATATTGGCATTCCAGCCAATCTTGTGATAAATGACATTAATGTTGTACACAGAGTGATAGAGGAATTGAAGACATGCACAGCATTGTTATAAGAGCAGCTTGTGACTCTTAAATTTCTTACAGATCTCAAGTTTTGAGATTTCCTTTATTTTTAATGTTTTTCAGGTGATGTGATGTTGAAAATAGATTAAATATGTAATGTATGAAAATGAATGAAATATGTATAATAATATTAATCTTTTACAGTCAATTCTTACAATTGATGATCAATTCATCATCTCTTTTCTTACACTTTTTCTTTATCTGCTAGTCACTACTCTTATGTGACCTCTATATAATACAGTGTTCAGTAACTAGGTTTGACAGCTTTCAACTTTTTGTGATTCTATCTCATGCATTATACTGTCTCTCTTTACTCACTCAGATCACTACAGTAAACAGCTTATTGAAACTAATCTCATCTGATCTCTGAGTTTCTCAGAGATTGAGATAACTTAGTCTCACACATCTGCAGATGTTTCAGATAGTTTATCCTCTGTGATCTCTGTGATTGAACTGGTATAAACAGTTGAATTCAACTCTGAATTTCTTTTTCTTCTGTAATCTGACTCATGTGCAAGTCTGTCACTCTGAGATCACTCTTTGTCATGTTACACTCACTGTCTGTGATGCATTATTATACAACTAGCTACAGTCTCATCACTTATTGAAGTGTGATATTTATCTGATTTCTTCATTTCTTCTCATTCTTTTCTTATAATTGTGAAAAGATCAGAATAAGTGAGATCATCTGATTCATAAGTGTCTATAATTTCTCTTACTTTGTGAGACTTTTCAATTGTAAGTCTCTTCTTTTTCAACACTGATAATAGTGCTGTAAATGATCATAATTCACTCAGATCTTACATCTTTGCTTTTATAAGTCATGAATCATTGATTAAGTTGTATAAGATCTGTCTCTCTGATTCTTTCAATGTATACATTCTCAGAGAATGTGATTTGAGTATTTTATATAGCTCAAATCACCTAGGTTGAAACTTCTCAGAACTCTTATTATGTACAAGAACTCATATTCTTATCTTGAGACTCAATTTCTTAACTAGTGAGTCTTGTATTCTTTTCAATTGAATTGCTTGATTCAGGAGTAACTTGTTAGCTTTTGCGCGTGCATGACTGATCTCTTTCAATCTTGATTCTGTATCTGTGACTGTTGTGTCTGCAACTGCTGTTTCTGCTGTGTCTGCAACTGCTGTTTCTGCTGCATCTACAACTGCTCTCTCTCTCACCTTTTTCAAAGCATTCTCTGGGATGCGTGGATGCAATTCATACAACAGATAGAATGATGAATACTTGAAGACTGCATGCTGTCAAATCCGTGTGATCAATAGCACCTGCCTGAGATATTCATTTCATAGTCTCATAGGCTTGCTCACTAGATATTTTGTCAGCATGTTGCTTAAGATTTCATTCAAGTGTTTCATCTTTCTGTTTGTTCACAGATGATATAATATTATTCTACAATATCTTGTCTATAACTGACTCATGAAATGTCTTACTACTTCTCTCATGAGATTTACACTGTTATCAGTTAGAATCTTGTACAGTATTTCATAGTTAACATAGATCTCATTATATAGAAACTTCACTATCATCTTCTCTATTGTCTCTGAAACTGCTTTTATAACTGATCAGTCAGTAGTGTAATCAATAGCAGTGATTATTCATTGATTTTCATTTGATGTTCATGATAATATGTCTATGAGATTCATCTCTCATTGTTCAAATAGTTGTATTATACACTTTATCTGATATTGTACTTTCTTGTGTTCTAATCCTTTCTTAGATTCTTTCACAACCTGACAATTTTAGGCACTTGTGAGTGTACACCTGGATGTCCTCAGTCATGCTTGGCCAGTATACTCTTGATTTGAGTACACTCATGAGTTCAGAGCTTTCTAAGTGACTGAATTTCTTGTGCATGTAAGTCATCAAGTTATGTCTAAATGAAGATTTTAGATAGAGAGCTTCTGCATATTCTAGATCACAGTAAAGCACAACATTGTTTTCATTTCTCAATTTCCTCAGCTTGAAGTTCAGAAGCATCTCTTCTACTACTCTCATGAGACACTTGTTATCTGACATCTTGTCATTCTTCAAGTGAGAGATTATGATGTTCACTCATTCTGATTCCTTGCATTCTCTCAGCATGTTTAACATGAATGTCTCTTATACCTGAT